ATGGGAAACAGATGGGGAGACAGTGGAAACAATGTCAGACTTTATTTTTCTGGGCTCCAAAATCACTGCAGATGGTGACTGCAGCCATGAAATTAAAAGATGCTTACTCCTTGGAAAGGAAAGTTATGACCAACCTAGATAGCATATTAAAAAGCAGAGACATTACTTTGCCAACAAAGGTCCATCTAGTCAGGGCTATGGTTTTTCCAGTGGTCATATATGGATGTGAGAGTTGGACTGTGAAGAAAACTGAGCGCTGAAAAATGGATGCTTTTGAACTGTGGTGTTGGAGAAGACTCTTGAGAGTCCCTTGGTCTGCAAGGGAATCCAACCAGTCCATCCTAAAGGAGATAAGTCCTGGGTGTTCATTGGAAGGAGTGCTGCTGAAGCTGAAACTCCAGTACTTTGGCCACCTCATGTGAAGAGTTGACTCATTGGAAAAGACCCTGATGCTGGGAGGGACTGGGGGCAGGAGGAGAAGGGGATGACAGAGGATGAGATGGCTGGATGGTATCACCGACTCGATGGGCATGAGTTTGAGTAAACTCTGGGAGTTGGTGATGGACAGGGAGGCCTGGCGTGCTGCAATTCATGGGGTCGCAAAGAGTTGGACACGACTGAGTGACTGAACTGAACTGAACTGAACTGAAGTCTAACTGGTCTAATATGTCATTTAAGGCTTGTGTTTCCTTATTGATTTTCTGTCTAGGTGACCTGTTCACTGGTGTAAATGGGGTGTTTAAGGATCCCCACTATTACTGTGTCACTGTTGATTTCCCCCTTTTGACTGTTAGCATTTGCCTTATATATTGAGGTGCTCCAATATTGGGAGGCATATATATTTATAATTGTTATATCTTCTTCTTTTATTGATCCTTTGATCATTATGCAGTGTCCTTCCTTGTCTCTTGTAACAGTCTTCATTTTAAAGTCTATTTTGTCTGATATGAGTATTGCTATCCAGCTTTCTTTTGTTTCAAGTTGCATGGAATATCTTTTTCTATCCCTTCACTCTCAGTCTCTATGTGTCCCTAGGTCTGAAGTGGTGTTTTATAGACACTTTATATGTATGGGTCTTTTTTTTTTATTCATTCAGCCAGTCTGTCTTTTCATTGGAGAATTTAATCCATTTACCTTTAGGATAATTATTGATATGTATGTTCCTATTGCCATTTTTCTTAAATGTTTTGCGTTTATTTCTGTAGGTCTTTATTCTTCCCTTCCTCTTTGTTTTCTTCTCTTGTGGTTTGATTGCCATCTTTAGTGTTGTGTTTGGATTGCTTTTTCTTTTTTATGTTTGTATCTATTGTAGTTTTTTGGTTTGTATTTCCCATGAGATTTTTTTTTTCACTTGTTATTTAAAATTTATTGAGCACAGACAGTGTGTCATTGAAGTACTTTACTAAAAATTTATACTCTTTGCCTTTGAGTTTTACATTCTTTACATAATGTACATTTAAAAAAACACAGTATAGTACATGGCATCATAAAAAGATTATGTGAACCTAGACTGAGTCCCTTTATGTTGAAATTTTGTAAAATTCACTGTGTTTTATTTACATCATGGTAACTGATGACTAAAAGTCTGGATGAAAATGGAGGACTTTATGTGAAAACAAAATGGAAACCAATATGTCAAATTATGTGTGTAATCCTTTAACTTTTGACCTCTGTAGGCTGAATTCTATAATAATAGCCATCTAATGACCACTGGGATCAATTACAAGCACATTGTCTTGGAATTACAATGCCCTCATTTTTCACAATGATGTAAGGAAACAATAATATAGGATTGTCATGTATACACTATCATGTATAAAATAGATGGCTAGTGGGAACCTTAAAACTCAGTATTTAAAAAACTAAATCATGTCATCCAGTTCCATCATCTCATGGCAAATAGATGGGGAGACAATTGAAACAGTGACAGACAATTTTCTTGGGCTCCAGAAATACTGTGGATGGTGACTGCAGCCATGAAATTAAAAGATGCTTGCTCCTTGGAAGAAAAGCTACAAAAAACCTAAACAGCACATTCAAAAGCAGAGACATCACTTTGCCAACAAAGGTCCATATAGTCAAAGCTATGGTTTTTCCTGTAATCATGTATGGATGTGAGTTAAACCATAAAGAAGGCTGAGCTGAAGAATTGGCTGAGGAATTAATGTTTTCAAACTGTGGTACTGGAGAAGACTCTTGAGAGAGTCCCTTGGACTGCAATGAGATAAAACAAGTAAGTCCTAAAGGAAACCAACCCTGAGTATATATTGGAAGGACTGATGCTGAAGCTGAAGCTCCAATACTTTGGCCACCTGTACCAACTCATTGGAAAGGACCCCTATGCGGGGAAAGATTGAGGGCAAGAGGAGAAGGAGGAGACAGAGGTTGAGACTGTGGATGGCATCACTGATTCAATGGATGAGAGTCTGAGCAAACTCCAGGAAATAGTGAAGGACGGTGAAGACTGGCATGCTGCAGTCCATGTGGTTGCAAGGAGTCAGACATGACTGAGTGACTGAACAACAATTGGGAGCCTGTTATAAAGTACAGGAAGTTCAGCTCTGTGCTCTGTGATGCCCTAGAGTGGTGGGATGGGGATACGTGGGAGGGAAGCTCAAGAGGGACCCCTTGAGCTGCATACATATAGCTGATTCACTTTGTTTTTCAGCAGAAACTAGCAGCATTGTGAAGCAATTATACTCCATTTAAAAAATCCATCCTTCAATGCCCACAGTCAGTGGATTTTTAAAATTTTATTTAATGATATGGGTAACCTTGATCAAAAGATTTAAAACTGCCTCCTTTTTTGCTTTAGTCAAACTAAAACAATGAAGAAAACATACTTCCAGAAATATATTTATACAAAACCAAAGGAGTTATTTTTCAACAAGTATTCCCATGAGATTTTGATAAAGTTATATATATATATATATATATACACACATTTGTTTTAAGTCACTGATGTCTTAATTTCAATTCCACTCTCTGCATTTGTAGTGTCTTCTCATGGTTGCTGGTTCTGATATCATATTTGTGTATGGGTGATTTCCTGCTTTTGCTGTATGTTTGCCTTTGCCAGTGAGCTTTCCCATTTGTTATTTCTTGTTTCTAGTTTTGGCTTCTTTTTCTCCCTGCTGCCTGGAGAATTTCCTTTAGCATCCATTGCAAAGTTGGTCTGATGGTGCTAAATTTTCTTAGCTTTTGCTCATCTATAAAGCTTTTGATTTCTCTGTCAAATCTGAATGAGAGCCTTGCTGGGTAGAATATTCTTGGTTGTCTGTTTTTCCCTTTCATCTATTTAAATATAATATACCACTTCCTTCTGGCCTGCAGAGTTTCTGCTAAAAAATCAGCTGATAACCTTATGGGGAATCTCCCCATGTTGTTTGTTGCTTTTTTTTTTTCTTGTTGTTTGTAATATTTTTCTTTGTATTTAATTTTTGTTAGTTTGATTACTATATGTCTCAGTGTGTTCCTACTTGGGTTTATCCTGTATGGGACTCTGCATTTCCTGGACTTGAGTGACTATCTCCTTGCCCAATCTAGGGGAGTTTATGACTATCATCTCTTCAGCTATTTTCTGAGGCCCTGCCTCTTTTTCTTCTTCTCCTGAGACCCCTATAATTGGAATACTGGTGCATTTAATGTTGTCCCTGAGGTCTCTTAGACTGTCCTTTATTTTCATTCTTTCTTTATTCTATTCTGTGTCAGTGATTTCTACCAATCTGTCTTCCAGCTTTCTTATCTGCACTTCTGCCTCAATTATTCTGCTATTTATTCCTTCTAGTATATTTTTCATTTCAGTTATTTTATAGTTCATGTCTTTTTTTGTTCTTTAGTTCTCCTAGGTCATTGGTAAACATTTCTTATATCCTCTCAATCCAGGCCTCTATTCTTTTTTAGACATCTTGGATCATCTTTACTATCATTACTCTGAATTCTTTTTCAGGTAGATTGCCTCTCTCCTCTTCATTTACTTGTCCTTCGTAGCTTTTTACTTCGCTTCTTCCTCTGCAACAACTTGTTGTTGTCTCATTTTGTCTAACTACTGTGTTTGTGGTCTCCTTTCTGCCAGCTTCAGGATCATAGTTCCTCTTACTTCTGGTGTCTGCTTCCTGGTGGGTAAGGCTGGTCCAGAGGCTTGTGCCATTATTCCCTTGGTAGGGGGCGTTGACTGGTGGTGTGACCAGAGCCTGCCCTGGATACTGAGCAGGGCCATCTTTTGCTCTGTGGTTTTCTCTGTCCTGTCAGAGGTGGGGTCTGTTCCCTAGTTGCTGGAGCAGACGTCCCCAGATTTGTTTCTTAGATGTGTTTCTGATCTGTGGTGGGAGGCAGGTGGGATTGGAGTGCTCCCATTGGGAGGGAAGCCGCTGCGTGTTCCTCCTCTGGGGCTGTTCCGCGTGAATGGGCTCTGTTGTGTTCCCTTTGGCCTGTTGTGTGGGTTCACAAAGTATGGTCTTGCTGGCACTGCTCCTGGCCTCACTTTCACCGTGGGAATGCTGGCGGTTGACTCTGGTGACTCCCAGGCGTTTTTTCACCAGGCCGCCAATGCAGAGCCACTGAGGCAGGTCCTAGGACTGCTGCAGTCATGCACCTGGATCTGCTATGGGAGCTGCGGAGGCAGCTCAGACTCTACCCTGCCCATCCCCCGTGTCTACGTGCCGACAAAGCTCACAGCTGCTAGAGTCAGAACTTTCCCAGCTGCAGGAGCACTTGTTGTCCTTTCAGATGTTTCACAGGCACTAAATTTAGGAAGCCTTCAGCGGAGGTGTAGCTCCACAGTTGACACAGCTGTGAGGAGAGATTTCAGCTCTTTTACAGTCACATGGCCCCTGCGGCTCAGCTGTGGTTTCAGCCCCACCTCTCAGTGGGACCATTCCCTTAGAGTACAGAAGCCCATCAGGCGGGAAGGATCCAAGTTGACTATTGGGGCGGGAGGGCTGCCCAGGTGGGAGGGTGCTGGGGTAGCGACTGGAACTCCAAAGCCTGTCAGTTGGGGATCAGAGCGAGTAGGGACAGGGCGGAGGAAGCGATGGAGGGGGACCACGGGTCAACTCCAATGGGAGCCCTCCCATGTGCCCAAGGAGGCAAGGGCCGGAGCATGAGGAGAGCCCTGCACTTTGCACGTCTCTCAGTAATGGCACTTTGCTTCTACAGAGGTCCAGGCTTCCTCCACGAGCACTTCTGGTTGTGGAGCTCCTCACTCCTGTCTCCTCATGGTCAACAGCAGTCCCTTTCCCCGGGTTGCTCTCCAAACCCCACATTCCAGCACCCAGCTCCACCCCCCACCCTTCCGCGCTGGTGGACACCCATCTTAGGCTGGGGTACACAGGGCTGTGGCAGGGACTATTTGCATAGGCCTCACTCTGTCCTGCTGCATTCTCCTCTGCATTCTCTGCTGCATTTTCCTCATGCTCAAATCTCCCCTTCTGTCCCATCTAACATCTGTGTTTGTGAGGGGTCGTCCCTAGATTCAGGAACCTCTCCTCACCTTCAGCTCCCTGCTGAGGGCACAGGTCCCATCCAGCTTCCTCTCTTCTTTCTTTTGTTCTACCCGTTATGTGGGGATCTTGCTCTTTAAGGTGTCTGACATCTGCTAGTGTTCAGCAGTGCTCTGTGAGACGTGTTCCGTTGGTAGATGTTTTCCTGATGTGTTTGTGGAGACAGGCAAGCTCCACGTCCTCCTACTCCTCCACCATCTTGGAAAGTCCTGTTTACTTTCAACTGGCGCTTTCCGAGTTATTAATTACTAAATAAGTTTTGGGCTATTAAAATAATTATAAAACAAAAGCTATTGTGAAAAAAGTAATGATGACTCTTTACCGGAGTTCTAAAATATCTTGAGGCTTGCACATATTAAAAACTTTGTGTCCCTGTCAGCCATTATTATCTCTTCTTCCTTCAGAGTCAAACTTTTTGATAGAATTTTCTGTATTTATTATCTATCCTTCCTCACGTCTCATCTGTTCTTCAAACCACTGAAGCCTGAACTTACTCTATCAAGGCCACTCTGAATAAAGTGGTCAGATCCTTTCTTTATCTCTGTGTCTAGAGGACTGTCTCCTTCCTCTCTTCCTGACATCTTTAGTAGCATTTGATACTGTGGACCACTCTCCTATCTGAATCTTCTTTTTCCTTCAACTTTTGTGTCTGCGCACACCCTTGATTTTTCTCCTACCTGTCAGATGCATTGTCTCAGTCTCCTTTGAGATCTTGTTTCCCTTTCTATATTTTTAAAATGCAGATGTGGTATTTTGCGGGTATTATCAGGAAGACTTCAGAATAGATTGGCTGTAGGAAGTGAGGAAAAGAGTCAAAAACTAGGGTTGGGGGAGACAAGTTAGGAGTTTGGAATTAACATATGCACACAACTATATATAAAATAGATAAACAACAACTGTGCTATTTAGCACAGGGACTATTTTCAATATCTTGTAATATATATAGGTCTCTCTCTATATATAGGTGTCTATATATATATAGGTGACTCTATATGAATCACTTTGCTGTACACCTAAAGCATTATAAATAAGCTATACTTCAGTACAAATTAAAAATTAAAGAAAAGTCTAGGAAATGAAGGAGAGGCACTTACTGAGACAAAGAAGAAAGACTAGAGAAAGTGTATGTGTATGTGTATCAGGTATTCCATTTTGGATTATTTTTCTCATTGAATTCCCAGTGAAGAGAAACAATATATAGTATTGAGGTAGAAATACTAGGCAGTCAGTATAGAACTTGGTCTCATTTTCAGTAAATACCTTTCTCCATTTTCTTGAATCCCTGGAATATGTCTTTAGTCTGATAAATTATCAGCACTCAGATCCAGGCAAGGGCAGTAATTAAATTCTGCTCCATATACATGAGGGAAAAACAGCTGGTGATCATTAACCTTAAGTCCATACATCTGATAAAATGGCCAGGGGGCATGAAAAAGGGTGGTGACTTAATCCAAGGATCAAAGAAGCCTTAAAGATGTTAAGTATCTTGACCTTTAAATTGATTGGTTAGAAATAATGTGATTTAAGGAAGGATATAAAACTGCTGCAAGTCCCACCTTGGGAGGACTATTTACCCCCTCTCAGTATCTATACTGAGAGCTTTGTACTTTCTTCCTGTTTAATAAATCCTATTTGCTTGCAACCATGAGTGTCTGCATGTTCCTGGATTCTATTCTTTGGCTCCACAGACAAGAACTCAGATTCCCGTTTCAGTGTGACCCTAGAGTAATTCACCAATGCAAAGAATGGCAGCAATATGTTATCTAATTATTCCTATACAGTGCTCTACTCTTGGTTCTTTTTTTTTTTTTTTTTTCTTTAATCTAGAGGAACTTAGAAAACTCCAAGGGAATTGTTGGGGGGAAAGAAATTTTCCTCTACCATTTTAGATTCTTCTATGTGGTCTAAGAATTATATTGACATGAAATAGACTAACAGGAGACAGTGAAACAAAGGTTTAGTGGCATGTATACATAGGCAAGACCCAGGAAAATTCACTAACTCAACAAAATGGCTGAAACCCTCACCTGAAATACCACTCTCGGCTAAAGACAAACGAGCATGTTGAGGATGGGGGCAGTTACAGGAGGCGACCTGGAGAGGCACAGTAAGTAAGGATAAGGTTGTGATGCAGATTCCAGTCAGTTTCGTCTCCACTGATAAGCGTTCTGGAGACTTGGTCATCTTCCTCTTTCTGGTACAGAGGTACAGGATAAAGATTTCTCTTGTACATGCAAATATTTCTTACAAAAATGTAACTTATTCTTTGTTATCAGGGTCTGTCCACATTTACTGTTTCTTAGAAAATAAACAACTGAAAATAATGTGCAAAAGAGACATATTTTGGGGTGTCAAATTCTATTCTCTTATAGAATTCAAATAACAAAATCCTTGCTGTGGAGTTTGATTAAAAAACGTTTTATTTTTAAATAATTATAGGCCCACAAGAAGTTGTGAAGTCAACACAGAGGTCTTCTGTGCCTCTCTGCTGGCTTCCTCAGCGACTGCAGTGCCCTGTGGAGGCCAGGATGGCACAGCATGATTCACTAGATACAGGTTGTGTTTCATGATCTTTTCACATGCATTCATTTCCTTATGTCTTTGTGTATAATTCTAGGATGTTTTATCACATGTACATGGTCTAAATGTGTCCCCACAGAATTCTTATTATGAAACCTAACCCCTAAGATATTTGGAGGTAGTGCCTGGGGGAGGTCGTTAGTCATAAGGGATGAGTGCCCTGTCACAGAGGTCCAAGAGATTCCCATACCCTCATCTCCCTGTGAAGTTACAGAGAAAAACCTGCCATCTGTGAACCAGGAAGCAGGCTTTAACTGAGGTAGGAGGTAGATGGCCCCCCACCAGGGTAAAGCAATAGTAGATTCATTCCTTGTGGACAAAACCCCCTAGATGAGAACAGCAGGACAATTAAGAGGTGAGGTTTGGATATACCCAGACCACATATTTCCCATTCTCAAAGTCAGGAGACCTCTTTGAAAGTGCAGAAAGTCTCTTTGGAGGTCAAAGGGGAGTGATGTCAAGAGACGCTCTACTCATAGGCCCCTGCGGTAGAATCTATCTTGCCTAAGAGATGCATGCCCACAAATGGGAGGATCCTGAGATATACCAAATATGGACTGTGAACCAGGCAAATCAAAATGATTGGCCAAAGGAAACCTGGAAGAAATGCCCATGTAAGTGATTTAAACTGCCACAAGCGTGTGACTCAGGGACTCTCCCTCTGAGTTTGCTTATGTGTCTATCCACACATGCATGCATGCTAGGTCGCTTCAGTCGTGTCTGACTCTATGCGACCCCATACATACTGTACTCTTTTTCCTGCAAATAAACACTTTACGTTTCACTACTTTCTGTCTTTGTGGGGATTTCTTTTTTGCAAAACCAAATGGCCAGGGACTTGGCACTGACCACTGGTCTAGTGGTTAGGATTTGGTACCCTCACCTCTGCAACCTGGATTCAACCTCTGGGGGGAACTGAAGCCCCACTTCAGGCTGCTGCAGGCCAAGACCACCCGAGACCACTGGGTGTGCCCAATGTGTCTGACTTTGTGGCAGATTTCTTTGGTGTGGTGTATGTGCTCAATTGTGTCTGACTCTTTGAGATGCCATGGACTATAGTCTGCCAGGCTCCTCTGTCCATGGAATTTTCCAAGCAAGAATTCTGAAGCGGGTTGCCATTTCCTACTCAAAGAAATCTTCCTGATCTAGGAATTGAACCTAGATTGACAGGTTCATTGTTTACATTGACAGGCAGATTGTTTACCACTGAGCCACCTGGAAAGCCCAGAGATCATTACCAGCCACCAGACCTACTGGTGCCTTGATCTTGGAACTTTTAGCCTCCAGAATTATGAAAAATAAATGTTTGCTGTTTATAAGCCACTCTGTCAGTGGTGTTTTGTTAGAGCAGCCCAAATGGACTAATACATATAGATCTGAATAACTACTATTACAAGCAACATACAAGTCCCTTTTATCACCACGAAGGAACTCCTCCCCCTGTTTTGTTGCCACGGCTTTTGTCTCCTCCCTTGTGCTAAGTCACTTCAGTTGTGTCTGACATTTCGAAACTCCATGGACTGTAATCCACCAGGCTCCTGTCCATGGGATTCTCCAGGCGAGAATACTGGAGTGGGTTGCCATTTACTTCTCCAGGGATCTCCCCAGCCCAGGGGTCAAACCTACATCTCCTATGTCTCCCGCATTGGAAGGCAGATTGTTTAACATTAGTGCCCCTGGGAAGCTCTCCTCCCTTCATCCCCGGCAACCACTTATCTGTCTCCATCTCTCTAATTGTCATCTTGAGAATGCAATGCAAACAGAATCATACAGCATGTGGTCTTTTATTCCTCCATTTGTATAATGCCCATAAGACCATCTATGTTGTCCTGTGTATGTTTGATCCCTCTTACTGCTGAATGGTGTTCCAAGATTTGATCTTGAGAGCCTGCTGCAGTCCTAGGTAGGGAGTGTGCATTAGCTTGGCAACCTGGTATCAAGTCCTCAAATGAAACAACTGAAGTTAATACAGTGGGGAATGATCAGCGTGATAAGGGAAGAAGAATAACAAGGAAGGAAATTCTTAGCCATTCTCAGGAGCAAACAACGGGCTGGAAACAAAGCGTGCATGCTGACATTTCCCAAGGTGAGTTTACCAGAAACCAGTAAGTCTAACATACTAAGAGTGGTTAACGCCAAAGTCTAGGAAATCAGAAAAACTGTCACTGCTGTTGGACTGATTTTTAACATGATGACGCATATTTAGAATTGTAGAAGAGGGCATGATATTCTCTGCTTTCCAAACCTTTAGACCAGCACGTTAATGTCCTTTTCCTAGACTATTTCTCTCTGGAGTTTTCCAGGG